AAACGTTCTATCTACATAATTCCACATTGCTGACCAGAAAATTCATCCACAAAAAAAAAAAAAAAAGTTATGAAAATATGTACAGTAAATAAGAGCATAACAAAGAACCATGAATCCCAGCCTGGGAAAGACTAGTTTCGAAACTTCCATAATCTAATGAACTTATCGTTGTGCGTTGTGACTATCTTGTTCATCCCAACGGCTAAGCTTGTGATCGGAGGCCTACTCCTTCTGTGTATGGCATCAATAGGAGTTTCATCTGACAGTCTATTTCCTATCCTTTCTTCGACGACTCCAACCCCACTCTGATACGTCGACAACAGTCTACTATCCATAATACAACCTGACCGTACTGTCCCTGTATTCTGATCTAAAATACGTAGAATGCCATCTATTCCACCAACGGCCAAGCTTGACCTGTCATTTTGGAGGTGTCGCAAAGAGTATACGACATTCGGGCTCACTCGGGATTCCCATAAAGGTTTCATTGTCCTAAGAAATGTGCAGAGCTGAATGAGAGTATATATTTTGAAGAAAGTGACTAAAGCAGTAAATAAATAAATGACACGGTCCGAGTTTAGAACATCATAGACAGCAAGAATTGTAAAATCAGAACTTTTCTTCCCTTCAGCAGTAAATAATTTCATTTTGTTTCAGTATTCAAACAGCAATGGAAATTCAATGTTGGCTAAAGCTCTTCATTTCTTGGCCTGAAGCTATCTTCCATTAACTTATTGTTTTTGTTGCATACCATCAGTGACCAGACCAATTTACTGAAGTTGCATCTAAATTACTTTTTACTTACCTGAGGTCCCAACAATAGACATGTCCGGCAGTTGATCCCGCAAAGACTAAATGTGAAGAAGCATTGTAACACATGGTCTTTATGCCTGCAAGCAGAAATTGTAATAAAATATACACTAACACAAATCTGAGTGGAAAAGAATTACTTTTTGATATATGTACACGAAGGGAACTAACTAACCACAAGGAAATCTATAAATGTTCTCTAGTTGAAAAGAATTTTTTTTTAAGTGCTTTGAGAAGGACGGTTAGATTAGCTATATGCAAACTACTTGAGACTGTTTGTTTACTTCAGATGTTAAACTACACTGCTCGAGTTGCTTCTTTTCTTGTCTCTAATTCAGAGGACGATTTATCGTGTTATATTTGATTCAGAAAGTCTGAGACAGAGAAGTTTTAAATGACGAGACAAGGAGAAGAGAAAGGTGCAAGAGTAAGACTGCCATATGCATGACCTATGGTATTTCTTGATCTAAGCATTGCTACCCGCTGATCAGACCGAAGACCCGATACTCCAATGTTTCCATGAAGGGAACCCCCAAGTATGAGCTGATCATCACCCACACATAAGCATGTCACTGGCCCAGGAAGCATCCTGCAATGTAAAATTAACAAAATCGGTGCAAAAGTCAAGATAGAAGTGCATGATATGTCAACCATTTAGGAAATTACATGAAACTAAACAAGTACTAAGAAATCCTGAAAATTAGTTTTCCATTATTAACCTTTGGTTCGTACCAAAATGGATCTCTCTTTTTATTCTAATGTGAAAATGTCAGCATGAGTGTTTGTGTGCATGGTTAAAGAAAAAGTAATGAATATCAAACTTGTGTGACGTTATTTTCACCAACTCAACTTCTAATGGTTGTTCCTCGTCTGTTCGATCATTGCCGAAACTTAGTCTGTCAATAACCTCAGTCCAAAGAACAGGTGAAGGAGAAGTGTAATGTCATTTATATTTCTTCTGGTTTACCTGACAATTCTAGAGCATCTCCTACTATACATGTCGAATACATGAGCTGTTCCATCTCCACAACCAACAACAGCCTCCGGATCAAAGTAACTGTAAGCAGGATTGGAAGATTCATTATACAAATAAATTGAAAACCAATTGAGAAGAATCGCTTCAAGTCTACAAATGACTGTGGACCAAGGCTGCAGTGACAATCATTCTTTCATATCATAAACATAAACTGGTGTACCAGAGACAATTGGGATTGATAAGTTAAATTACAAGACAAAATCAATATAAGTACGAAAATATATGGATAAATTAAAATGTTTAAAACGTAATTAAAAAGAAATTGATGTTAAACAAGTTAGTTTTGAAAACAGATAGAAATTTATGGTGGTATTTCCACTTACCGCATACATGAACCCTCCACAAACGTACATTCACGCGAAGGAAATATACTTCGTTTCCCACTCCGACTCCATATGCACATGTTTCTACCAACCAAACCAACAATCTAGGACAAGACAATGGCTTGAGAAATTAGATTTCTTTTGGCAAATATCAGTTCTCTATTGGGAAATAATAAGGTTCAGAATTCCACCCAGAAAAGTGCTTAGTAACTGATGAAAACGAAGGAATGCATCTACTCACCTTTTCATATAGTATAGCATGCTTTGTCAAAAGTTTTCTAGACGAGTAGCAAAAACATCAGCATACTTATAAGAGATATATTGATATTACCTTGCTCTCATCAAAATCAAAGTCAATTAGGGGCAGTTTCTCTGGAATAGAATATTCTTCCAGACATCTGAAGTTCTCCGACGACCAAAGTCTCATAACCTGGAATTGCAGAAAACAAGAGAGCGTAACAAGCTAATATCAGAATTGCAAAGAAATTACATCCCAATCTCTCATGCACGCTTGAATGTAATGTAGGAAGTACTCCATATAAAGTACATGGCTATCTCTACCCGTCCACACTCGAACTTTTGTTTATGATTCATTCATCTTCTTTTTTATTTTCTCTTTTGGAGGACTGGACAAATAAATAATCTACCAAATAATAGAGTAAGAGGCTATACTTTATCACCCACTCCTGTAAGAATCAAACCCATCTTCATTCGGCATTGTTCAGCCCTATATAGAAATCCATGTTACGTGAGTTATTATACAAACCAAAAACAAAAGAAACGATAATCTGCACAGTAATACGAAATGCTAATGAGAATTTCAAAATATTTTTCCATTAAGAACAACGCAACAAAACAACCGACAAACACTTTGTCAGAGTGTTTTGATTACTTACCGAAAGTAAATACAAAAAGTATGTTGATTAGAAAGATTTGTATACAGTAACAGGTCCGAGGATAAAGAACTATCAGCTATAGATAAATCCAGACAGGGAAACACAAAACAGTAAAGTAAGGAAGCGATTTAAACTGATAATGCAGCAATCAAACTCCTAACTTCAGATGCTCCATAACAAGTATGATTAATGAACAGAGGCAGTATATAATACATAAATAATATCTAGAAATGACTGTCCATCTTGCCAAAGTTACCTCACTGAATGGCCTATCCATTGAGAAACTCTTATACGACCTTCTTCCAACGCCAACTTGTGTCGTTCCATCGCTATTTCCTCTAAACATTCCAACAATGGTTTCTCCGAAGAAACTGAAACTTTGAAAGAGCTAGAAGACTCCATCTCCTGCTTCTGATGCTTCATGCAAAATGTTCGCAATAGTTCGGAATTAAAAATAGCATTATTCCTTCAAGAACATTCAAAATTTCGTTAGAGATATCAAATTAACGGGAAAAATAAACTGCAACTAAATAAAACAAATTAACCACGCTCTCTACTCCCTTCTTTCTTCATAGGTAACAGATAAAATGAGTACCAGGATTTACAAACAACTGAGCATCGAACCAAGTCGAAAAGGTCGAGGAACGAAAAGATTATGCACAAGATGTCGTGACTTAGGGAGTATACTGGTTTTGCATCAATATTACTCCGCCTTTTCGCCGAGGATCGGTCGGCGACCGTTGGAGGAGCCATCGCCGGTGTCGTTCGGCAGCTGATTCACGGATGGGGAAAGGATTGGTGAAGCAAAACGCCAACGTCTGGAGAAGAAGCCCGGTGGCTACATGCTGAAGAACCTGTGTGGGCTTTGGATCTTGCTGATGGATACGAGGCCCATAGCCCATCTACGAATTTTAGATTTATTTAAAAAGTTGAAAATAAATCAAATTAATTATGAAGAAATTCATTTTGATTCTATTATTCTATATTCTTGTTTTTCTTCTATATATATATATATATATATATAAATTGTTGATCAATATTTTTTTCTCTCCTGTGAGTTAACTATTTTGATTTTTTTAATACTAATTTATGTTTTATAAACTAAATTATATTCCAATTGAATATATTTTATGTAAAATATATCGCTAAAATTATTTATAATAACTAAAATGAATGTTAATTAGAAAATAATTTAACTAATTCTAATCTCGAACTTCAAAAGTTGAAATAATAAAATCCTAATACAAAAACGCAATAGAACTAGTTGTCAGTTCCAGCAACCGTCGCTCATCGTTGCATGAGCTTCGGCTACTACCTCCTCCATCAAAGCATTCCTATGAACTTCCTCCACCTAGTCCGAGCTTCAACCTCTAATCAAGCTAGTGATGGAAATAGTGACCTCCAAATTGGTACGATCTGGTTCAATTTGAGCATAAATCTTCATAACTCTCCTTTTGGTTCTCAAAATGCTTCAAACCAATAGAGATAGTGTGTAGTACTTATATACTCATGATCTCTCTTTTATACCGAATAAAGTACACTATTGAGTCTTCTTGCGAACAATCATATTTATCATCTGTCTAACACGCACATTACTAGTCCAATAGAGCTCTACCATGGATCTTCACTACAACTACACCTTCAGGCTCACAATTTCTTTGTTCAACACTTGATTCTATTGATGTAACTAAATTAAGATAAGCGCATGACTTTGATACCACTATTTGGAACAATACCTCCACATTATTATGGTATTCTCGTGATCTTTCATTCAATTAGCCAACGTGGGACTCAAACAATCTTCAACAACCAATTCCTTCTACCGAGTCAGTTCCTTTAGAGATTTTCGATTATTGCTTTATTGCATTCACATAATGTTACGAGTTCTTTGCGCCAAAACAAAAACACTATACTAACAAATGGGTTGAATTCAAATAAGGGAAGATTACAAAGTTCACTCCAATTTAATTATTGCTGAAGAATCTAAGATGAAAAATAAATTAAAAAAAAAAAGGGAATTTTGTTTAAGAAGAAGGGGGATGAAAAGGAGGGAGAGGTGTCCCTTGAAGGAAGTGTTGGATGAGGGCAAGCGCTCTTCTAGGCTGGTAGCTTGGCACTTCATGCCCTGCCCCTCTCACTGTTGCCAATGTCAACTCACCTTCATACACTTCTGCATATCCTCCAACCTATACATTTCACCCATGGTTCGATCGTATGAGAGAACACAAAAATAAAATCGTTATCAAAGTCTAACTTTTTCACGACGACTTGGATGGGTTTAGTCTAATACTCATCGTAAATTATAAAAATTTAGTTAAGATTTAAGAGGGAAATAGAGTGGGAAAGTACCTCGTTAGCAATAAACCATGGATACCAAGATATGTTGACGTGGAGATTCATGGAGTCGATGGAATATTTGGTTGAAGTAATGGGTACTCTTCCATCAACGTCACCACTACATGCCATATTGTCAATAGTTAGTTACTACCATTTTTCCACCAAACAAACCCTACCAAAGATATGTTTTCGAAATTACCTGAAAACCCACACTCGCAACCCACTTTTTATGAACTCTCGTAGTAGGGGAATGACGGTAGAAGCACTATCGGACCAGCCAGTTATGACATCGCTACAAGGCTCCCAATCGTAGGAAAGCTTCGTTACGTTGGCGTGCATGGCTTCTTGAACCTCAGCCCGGTTCAAGTATGCAAAAGTGTAGTAATCAGTACAAGGGTCGTAATTCATCACCGTGGCTTTTTTCAGTCGATCTGTCAAGTTGGTGTTTCGACATATAGGATAGTAGATGTTGTAGATGTCGACAACACCAGTGTTTAGATCCACTATGTTCATTGCATCAATGCATTTTTTGCTCTGTATTGTTGCTTCAGGAGAGAAGTCGCAATACTTTTTGATGTCGTTGGTTGTTCTATCGTGGATTAATGCGTGGGATGCAAAGAAGTCGTACATTCCGATTTGATCGGTTAAGTCATTGATCACTGCATTTCCAATCTGAAATAAAACAACAAGGAATCATAATCAACGATAAATTGTCTTCGAGTGTTCGTCCATAAATTCTTCCCATTTTACCCCCGACATTTAAATTTCATTTTTTGGGAAAGTATTTAGTTTAAGATAAGGAGGGAAAGCAGGTAAGAGTATGATAGGATGGCGCCATGGAAGGTGGGCAAGTTGGGCGGCGTGGGGCAGCCCCCACCCTCCCTCCCATCACTCGTGAGGGACTTTTTGTAGCTAACTACTGACACCAGAGCCTGTGCTCGTTGGCGCTCAGAGCGTTTCTCAGGATTGGGCGTAGACCCAACACCAATTCTTTTAATTAATTGCATAATCTATGACTAATCTTCATTAATCTAATCATTAAACCCTTATTAATATAAACTAGTTTACAACAAGACTTACGATAATGCCTTTGAGGTTGATAATCGTCTTGCCCGCTTTCTTATTTTGTGAAAGAATAGTGTGAGCCAGCTGAGGGACGTAATGGCCAGCGTAGCTCTCACCAGCAATGTAGAAACTCCGTTTCTTGTACTCTGGAAACCTTTCCAACCAGTTTACCAGAAACGCGTAATTATCTTTTGCCGTGTTCTTGTCTCCATTGGTCCTGTAATCCGACGTCGTATTTGAATACGAGAATCCCACTCCAGTGGGCGACTCCAAGAACAACACATTCGCAACTAAATTCATTAATACATCCAATATTAATTAGTTAATAAAATACCAAGCATAAATTAAACGAGCCAAAAATATATTTATATATCAATGAAAGTAATACACACCGTGATTCCATGAGAATTTATTTTCGAAGAGGGTTTTCCCATCACTACGAACGCGGAGTGGGCCCAATTCAGCCATGGCTCCGTAGGCAAGAGACGAACACCCAGGACCTACACAACCAATCATATGATGACACGTAGCATGCTGTTTCTTTTTTTTTAAAAAAAAAAGAATTTAACTTCATCTTACATGTGACGATTCAATATTTTTCATGATATGCATCATATGATAAAATAAAATATAGATACAAAATATAATTAATGCGAATATAATACAAATAATAAGATATTTATTTATTAAATTAAATATTTTATTTTTTAAATTTGATAATATAATACACCATGCATACCGCGATATTCTCCACAGAGAAAGGAGTAGTAACGGTTACAATTAAATGTACAATTTTTATTTTTAAATTATTTAAAATGTTGATGCAAAAAGAATAATAATAAAAGAAAAATTAAAAAACACGCGAAATTCTGACATTAATTAGTGCGGAGAAGAAGAAGCAAAATCATGATAATGAGTTGTTCTTGAATCTGTTTTACGGAACGAGATCGTTTTCGATCTGTTCTCAATTATTTGGAGAGAGAAAATCGGAGATAAGATGGAGAGAGAAATCGAAACAGAGACGACAAACGAAAACTAATCCGATCAAAAAGCCATCGATGAATCGATCTGGATTCAACGATTTTCCGATCAGTGAAAAGCTTAAATCGAACTTTCCGACGTACCTCCATTGAGCCAGAGAAGAAGCGGCAATGTGTTCTTGTGATGAGGAGATTCAACGAAGTAGTAATAGAAAGCACGGCCGGCGGATTGATCCACAGTCACGTAACCGCCGTATTGCGATAACTTAACTCTCGGCGGTTGTCCTGGTAGGCGTTGGATTTTGTCTCGCCGCTTCAGTCCAGTCTGATCGTAAATCTCAACCGTTTGCAGATCATCAGCGTTTTGATCAAGAACTGCATTAGGATCGAAAAGTTCAGATGAAGCAGCGGCGTTTGAGTTCTTGAAGAACTTGGATTTGTAGAGCGCGTCTAGGGCTTGCTTCTGGTTCTTCGCATTGATTTGAATCGAAAACAAGGAGAAAACGAGGAAGAAGAAGCAGAAACAGAGGAGATTTGAACTGCCGAATTCTGAATTTCTCATTGCCATTGCGGATTTTTGGTACTCTGATCTGTTGAAACAGGAATTGCAGAGGAGTTAAATAGACGGAGATTCGGAGTTTTCGATTCTGGATCCAGACTGTTAGTATCTGGATTATCCCTCGGTCTTTTGAGATTTAAAAATGACGAATATCGATCAAGAGATTGAAAAATCGGGCATGAACATCGGGTTTGATAGGAATAGTCGAAGCGGAAATTAATTAATTAATGAATTAGTTGACTGATGATGAGATGAAATGTTGCTCACCGCCAATCATGTTGCGCCATGTGAGGTCGATTGAATTTCATGGATATTAAAATGCCAAGATCAATCCACGGAATTATTGGAAGATGGTGAGAGAATGAGAACCGTATGATTTGATGACTTTGATTCTAAAAGTTTAAAATATAGTATGACTAGATAATCCTATTTTACCCGAATTAGCGAGTTAGATATTAAACTCGAATACCTAAAAAATAGGGTTACAATCGAGTTTAACCCACCTTTTAAGATATTTGTTAGCATCGTCCCTTGTGACTATTTAATATAAATAAGTAAGATTTTTTAAAATAATTATTAAAAAAACAACCGAACAATCTAACCCAACCAAACCCGAAAATGGAGGGTTGAGTTGGGTTGGGTTATGAACTCAACGTGAAAATTTAGTGTTGGCTTATTGGCCCTTGATCTCACATTAATTAATTTCAATGAATTAATTATTGATGTTTTGATGATAACAAACCTACTTTTAATTATTAACTATTTTCAGTTTTTTGAACTGTCCACAGTATAAGGTCGGGAATAACGATTACAACAACTTTTCAATTACTCAAATCAGAGCTAAAACGAAGAAATTAGAGTCGAGACAACATACCCGACGTGATGATGTGGCAACAAAATCAAAATGATGGACAAATCAAAATATATCAAAGTATGACATTTATAATATTGGAAGAATAACACATGGTGGAGTTTTTCTTATTATTACATTTCTAAATAAAAATTGTTTTTACAAATATAAATTTGAATATAACCGTTACTCACATCGAATTTTATTATTACTATATTATATTATTATATTATTATATTTTAAAATTTTGGTAGTTACTCACATCATTTTTATTATTATTATATTATTATATTTATAATAAATTTTGAATTACATTTTACCGTTACTCACATAACTTTTTATTATTATTATATTATATTACTATTATATTAAAATTTTGAAATAAATGAATTTAGAAAATTTTCTTACTTAATTACTTTTAATCTCCACCTTCCATTATTCCTAACACAATCCAATGGTCAATATTCAATCCTACATTTTGCCACTTTTCTCCTCTATATAAACTCATCTTCCCCACATTTTTATATATACAACTTACATACATTCTTCAATCCTCATTTGTTCAAAGTCTCCATTGTTTATTGCTCTCTCCAAGCTTACAAGTTTATTTCTTTTCATCTTATTCTTGAGAGGGATTATTATTATATTGTGAGGAAATAGTTGTCAGTATCCCAAATTGTAAATCTACTCTTTGAGAGAGTTGTGGTGTGTTATTATCAAACTCAAATACTTGTATCGGTTTGATCCTGAGTCGTTGAAAGGATTGAGTTTGCTCTTGAACTCGTAAAAAGAGCGGTGTACCGGTTTGGCTCTGATCCGTGGAAAGAGTCGGAAAAGTTATTTATTCAAATTCCCAAGAGGCGCTTGGGGAGTGGAGTAGGTCGAGTTTGACCGAACCACTATAAAACTACGGTGTCATTTTCTCTAACTCTTTCCTATTTAATTTCAAGATTATTATTATGTTTATTGCATGTTCTACTTGATTATTGTTTTGACTTGAATTATTTTGTTTTAGTAATTATCATCTTCTACTTATTTGTAAAAAGTTTTATCATTAGAAAAATTAATCAAGTTTAAACACTTTTATCGTTAAAACCCTATTCACCCCCCCTCTAGGGTTGCCATACCGATCCAACAATTGGTATCAGAGCAGGTTGCTCCTATAGATTTTTTATCTAAACTTTATTGTTCGAGCTTATGGCAAACCTACGTGTTAAAAATGGTTTTAGTGAAGGACAATCAACTTCTAGGCCACCTTATTTTGATGGAACAAATTATACATGTTGGAAAGCTAGGATGAAAATTTATTTGCAATCCGTTGATTATCAATTGTGGTTAAATGTTAGTAATGGTCCTTACATTCCAATAAAAATTGTTAATAATATTGAGGTGCCTAAATTAGAAAATGAATTTGATGAGCATGATATGAAAAAATGTTCTTTGAATGCTAGTGCTATCAATTGTCTGTATTGTGCCTTAAGTAATGATGAATTTAATAGAGTATGTATGTGTTCTTCGGCATATGAAATTTGGAAAACTCTTGAAGTAACTCATGAGGGAACCAATCAAGTTAAAGAAACAAAAATTAGCATGTTAGTTCATAATTATGAACTATTTAAAATGGAGGAAAATGAACCTATTGGTGATATGTTTACTAGATTTACTAATATTTTAAATGCTTTGAAAAATCTTGGAAAAGTATATTCTATCTCCGAAAATGTAAGAAAAATTCTTAGGTCTCTGCCTAAAAGTTGGGAGGCAAAAGTGACGGCGATTCAAGAAGCAAAGGATCTCACAAAGCTTCCTTTGGATGAACTCATTGGTTCTCTCATGACACATGAGATTACCATGAACGGGCACATGGAAGAAGAATCCAAAAAGAAGAAAAGTATAGCCCTAAAATCCATCAAAGTTGACTCTGAAGATGAGGACGTCCTTGATGAAGATGATGTCGCCTACTTCACACGTAAGTATAAAAATTTTATTAAAAGGAAGAAACAATTAAAAAAACATTTCACAAATCAAAAAGAGTCAAAAGGTGAAAAGAGCAAAAACGATGAGGTAATATGTTATGAATGTAAAAAGCCGGGTCATATAAGAACGGATTGTCCTCTCCTCAAATCATCTAAGAAATCCAAGAAGAAAGCAATGAAGGCTACTTGGGATGATAGTGATGAAAGTGCAAGTGGAAGTGATGAAGAAGTTGCAAATTTTTGCTTCATGGCTCATAGTGACAAAGAGGATGAACAAGAAGATGAACAAGAAGATGAGGTAACTCTTGAATCTCTTTCTTATCATGAATTATTTAAACTTGTTGATGAGATGACAATTGATTTAGAAAAACTTAGTTCAAAGTATGTTGTGCTTAAAAAGAAATATAAGACTTCAATTATTGAAAATAAGTCTTTGCTAAATGAAATTTCTTGCTTGAAGGAGAAGGATCATAATATTGTTAAAATTGATGTACCTTGTGAAAAGCATGTATTTGATTGTGATGAGAAAAATGCATTAATTGATAAAGTCAAGACTCTTGAGCATGATTGTGGTGAAAAAGATAAATTAATTAAATTGCTCAAAGAGAATGAATCAAATAATTTGCAAGAACTTGGTAGGGCTAAGGAATCTATTAAAATGTTAACAATAGGTGCTCAAAAATTAGATAAAATACTTGAAGGAGGTAAGTCATATGGTGATAAAAGAGGATTAGGCTATATTGATGAATGTTCTACACCTTCAAGTTCTAAAACAATCTTTGTTAAAGCATCCCCTATCTTGCCTAAATCTAACACATGTAAATTTGTATCTAAGTATGATAAATCTAGATTTGTGCCTATATGTCATTATTGTGGTGTTGAAGGTCATATTAGACCTAAGTGCTTTAAATTGAAAAATTCTCAAAATATTCATTTAGGAAGAAAAGTTTCTCAAAATACAAAGTTTAACAATGTTTTAGAAAATAATTTTTCGAATAAAAATAGAATACACAAATTTAGTCCAAGAAATAAATTCTTGCATAATGTCGTTTGTTTCTCGTGTGGTAAGTTTGGACATAAAGATTATTCTTGTTACTTATCTAAATACAATGTCTTTAATATGAATGCAAATATGAAATGGATTCCTAAATTTGTGAATACTAACTTTCTAGGACCCAAACAAGTATGGGTACCAAAAGGTCAATTTTGAATATCTTTGTTTTTAGGTTTGTTTGAAAGCCTCCAAGAAAAATAAGTGGTACTTGGATAGTGGTTGCTCAAGACACATGACGGGTAATCCATCCAAGTTTGTCAATCTTTCCAAGAAGGATGGTGGCTTAGTAACCTTTGGTGATAACAAGAAGGGTAAAATAATTGGTAAGGGTACTATAGGTAATGACTCTTGTACTCTCATTAAAAATGTATTGTTAGTTGATGGTTTAAAGCATGACTTACTTAGCATTAGTCAATTATGTGATAAAGGTTTTAGAGTTGTATTTGATAAGAATAATTGCATAATTGAAAATGCTAGTGATAGAAAAGTTTTGTTTGTAGGAAATAGAGACGATAATGTGTATACTATTGATTTGAATGATTGTCCTACAAATGATAAATGTCTTTCGGTTTTGATTGATAACTCTTGGCTATGGCATAGAAGACTAGGACATGCTAGTATGTACTTGATTTCAAATATTTCAAAAAATTCATTAGTGAGAGGTCTCCCTCAACTTAAATTTGAAAAAGATAAAATTTGTGACGCTTGTCAAATGGGTAAGCAAACTAAGTCTTCTTTCAAATCTAAAAATATGATTTCTACTACTAGACCTCTTCAACTACTCCATATAGACTTATTTGGCCCTTCTAAAATAGCTAGTTATGGAGGAAATTATTATGCTTTTGTGATAGTGGATGATTTTTCAAGATTTACTTGGGTTTTGATGATAAAACATAAGAATGATGTTTTGAAAAGATTTGCTAGTTTTGTAAAAAGAGTTCAAAATGAAAAAGGGTTTTTAATTACTAAAATTAGGAGTGACCATGGGGGAGAATTTAACAGTGTTGCCTTTGAAAAATTTTGTGAAGATAATGGTTTTTCTCATGAATTCTCCTTTCCAAGGACTCCTCAACAAAACGGTGTGGTTGAAAGGAAAAATCGTACTTTACAAGAATTTGCTAGATCAATGTTAAATGAGTATGATTTACCTAAATATTTTTGGGCGGAAGCCGTTAATACCGCTTGTTATATTTTAAATAGAGTTTTAATTAGACCTTCATTAAATAAAACTCCTTATGAACTCTGGCATAACAAAATTCCAAATGTTGGGTATTTCAAAGTTTTTGGTTGTAAATGTTTTATTTTGAACAACAAAGAAAAGCTTGGAAAGTTTGATTCAAAAACGGATATTGGTATTTTTCTTGGCTATTCATCTACTAGTAAAGCTTATAGAATTTTCAATAAGAGAACTTTAGTTATTGAAGAATCTATGCATGTGGTATTTGATGAATCTTGCAA